TCAATAGGATAGGATATTTCATTGTTTACTTGTGTTTCATGAACATGTGTTAATTGGTTATACTCTGAATATCAAATGCTATCTGCATATATTATTCATTATTTTTCCAATAAATTAATAACCGTATACGTAAATGTATCATGTGTTCTTTATAAAGCTCTTCCGGTTTTATATCAATTTAGTGAATTATAGGAGTTTCATCTGGATTCTTAACAACTCGGAAAGTTTAGGGTGCCTGACTTCCAATAATTGGAACGCTTATTCTAACCCGGTCTCTAATTTTTGTGTTTCGACAAGTGAACGGTATCGTTAGCTCCCAAACAGGCGTAACCTTGTTACCGAGATTTTGTTTATTCTTAAGTTCGGACCATCCGAGTAACCACGATATACTGTGAAGGCTAAATTTTAGCAATAATCATGTCTAAATTCCTCACATATCATCATTCTAGGCAACTCACTAGTCCAGTTTTCTTGTTTCTATTCTTAATTAAGTAAATTCAGGCATACGTCAATTAAAATGTAAAGAATTCATCGGTCAATAATATGATATTCTGTAATCCTGAAAATATTCCCAAAATATTTTTTCCCTTCCAAGGTCTTGTAGCACACGATGGTTTTCTATATATTATTGGTGGTGAAGATGGTGAGAATAATTTGACCAGTATAGAAAAATATGATCCTACTGCAAATACATGGTCAATACTTCCAAGCCATTTAACAACTGGTAGAAGCTACGCTGGTGTGGCCATTGTTGAACGGAGTTTTATCTAAATGTACACTATGTGTAGGCTGTACATGTGCATGCTCGTGTGTGTCAGTGTACGAATGCATAATTATATAATACGGAAGTGGTTTGTAGTTGAATTATTATTATTATTTCCAGTTACTTACTTTTACTTCGAGTTTTATTTTCTTACGATGTATTACTACTAATTTTAAGTTTTGGGATTATTTTATTTATTTATGTATTTATTCTTAATGCCTTTATTGTTTATTTCGTTCTAGTTTGATTTGTTTTACAATTTGTTTTGATTCATATTTTGTTTCATGGTATATAAACAACTGTAGCATTGATAATTCATTTTGCTATGCATTCATCCCTTCATTTTGAAGTGTTTATTTACTTGAATATTTTGTTGGCATATTTTTATATGTGTTAGTATGAATTTTCTTAATAATCACTGTGCCAGCGTATGTGCACGTACACACTAAAAAAAATTAATATCTTGTCTTATTTACTTCCATGTGTGTTCCTCTTCAATACAGCTCATTCCGTCCAGAATAGAAAGTGATGATGAGTCATAAAACAATCAAAACCTATTATTCTGCTTTTGTTTTAGAAACTTTCAATCCACCTACAGAAGTTGCTGGATCAATTTTCACATTCATTCAGACTGGCTTGTTTGGTTGGTTTTCACTAGTGCTCCCTATTCTCGACGTAGTAGTTGTATTGATGTGTCCCAGAGATGTTATGTGCTGCATTTGAACAATGTAGGTATTAATAAGAGTTATCGCTGTATCTACTAAGTAGTTGCATCTTTAATGATAGGTGTCACATATATCCTAATCTGTGAATGTGTTTAAATGGCTACGATGAAAACATCAAGATATATATAGGTTTAATTTCTACCACCGCAAAATGGTGAGCTGAAGCTGCAATTTTGTGGGTTGAAGTTGGCGATACAGTGGTTAAAGTTAGTGAAATCAAGTTAATATATCTAAAATTGATGGCGATAACGTATTTATTTATTTGAATAGTTAACATAAATTTACCCATCACTCGAAATCTTCCTTTCACTGTAAGTTATTATCATCTGTTGGTTGTGTTTATTTTCTTAACTTTGAGGTGCTTGGTCTTATTAATCGTTGCATCACTTTGCGTTCACCTAACTAGTTGTATAAGGGCTTAGGGACTCCATTTATTCCTCTTTAACTATTTCAGTTTGCTTTCGGTGTGTGTTACTAATCGAAGCACAAAAAACTGCTCTCACCAACGCGTTGTAGATCCGACCGTTTACAGCCAGACTAACATCACGAAGGCGTCGAAGATGGTCTAAATTGGCATAAGCCGCTCTGTCTGTCACTATACGTGCATTGATCTTATCACTCAGGCCACCACCAGTATATACGCAGCTACCGGATACACGAACGTTTCGAATACTTCTATCTGCTCACCATCCAGGGTGAGTACAGGATTAGAATCCTGCCAGTCCTGTAGAAGTACTTTGCACTTCGAATGTGCAAAGCACATACCATACCTACGGACACTGATTGCCAACTGATTAAGTGCGGATCGCATGGCTTGAGCATTATCGCACAGTAAGACAATATCATCCGCATACTCAAGGTTGAGAAGTTTTTCTCCAGGCAACAGATCCAAACCGCCATTACTTACATCCATCAGAGCTGTTTCCAGAATGTCGTCGATGGCAAAGTTGAAGAGGAATGGTGAGATTGGGCAACCCTGCTTGACCCCACTGCTCGAATGGAACAATGGAGAGAGGTGGTTGTATGCTCTCACTCTGCCTGAGGTGTTTGTATATAGAGCTTTTAGGATGTTAATAAACTTCTCAGACACACCCTTCTTCACTAGACAATCCCAGAGAACAGTCCTATCTAACGAATCGAAGGCAGTCCTAATGCCAAGAAACACTACGGTTGTTGGTCTTTGATAAGTATGGCGGTGTTCTAACATTTGGCAGAGGGTGAAGATATGATCAAGAAATCACTAGAATGGAGGAAAGATTGGACAACCATTTTAGTGATTTCTTGATAAAAAAAAAATGAAAATTCAACAATATCCACAAACCCTATTTGCTAATATTATAAACGTTGAGATAAATTCTCTTATCATGAACCAGCTAATCTTGTCGCGATCATGCAATGAGAAGACGTAGTTTATCGAAATTTACCAAAGGGACTAATTGTTTTCATCTTATTGCGTAGTATTCTTGGATACTACTTCACTGGAAAAGTCCTAAGAGTTGGAGTTCCTTGCGGACTTTCGCCTCATTCGGTGGATCAGTCGTCATCGGCCATGGAGGTCAGGACAGTCTGACCGATGCTGTCGGACACAATCTTATACCTACACCAGCCAGGCCACGAGAAGCAGCATCAGAGCTTCCAGATGCACGGAGCGTGAATCGAGATGGTTGCTTATTTTTATGTGGTGAAGTCAAATGAATGACGCTACCTGGATCCTATATGCGCCTTTCGGAGTCGCAGCACACATCGATGGCGCGGGATTCTAAAGTCCCATCTAAGGAAGCCTGTTTTCCTATTCGGCACAGTGTTCGGTTGTCAAAAGCTATGTATTTTAGAGAGACTGGGAATAACGTCCAGCGTATTTGAATCGTTTGTATTAGCGGCACGAGGTGATAAAGGAACGTGAGAAGGGTTAGTCGCGGAGATAAGAGAGTTATTATGAGGCGTAGGAAGGACCTGATTGTGACCGACTTGGTCTCGTGTGCTGTTACGGGTATGAGTGCTGATGTCACTTCCCGGCTGCCTACACTGTAGAAGGGTATTTCTTGAAAAACCTGAAAAGGAAGATGGATTAGTGTTGGCCTTAACGATCTGGAAGCGTGACTGCAGAGCCCAAGGGACAACTGCTTGAGGCCGACCACGCGTGTTTTTTAACGTATTAGCTCCGTTCTTTAATAGGCCTTATCTCCAGAGACGGAAATCCATGAGGTGTGATATTTTTAGGGTTGACCTTTTATAACCTCTTCCTACCTTGTGAGAAGGCAGCATCTTTGCAGATGCTGGTTGTCTGAGGGAAACACTTTACTGCTGTCACAGCCCTCTACCGTCAGCGGTACGACTTCGCCCTCAAACCTCAAGTTGCTGTTCTTACTTTTACCGTTTTCCAATCTATCTGCCTGGCATGGTAGGACCTACAGGAACATATATTCCAGCCAATATAGCTCGGTTGGGTCATCACGATAGGCAAGCCCTACCATCACTTCAATGTAGGAGATGCGGTCGGGACAAAAGAAGAGACATCAAACATCTACAAAATAAACTTCCAATTGCGAAAAATACTACATCCAACAATCTGGATTTCTTAATTTTCGTCTTCATGAACATAAATTAGCGGTCAGATGCCACTACATATCCTAGCTAACATCATGCATGTGAACACGTATTCAACTGGAAAATGCTGAAATATTGTATAGAGGGAATACTAAGAACTTCAGGGGATTTCTAGAAGCTTGACACTCAGGTCAATTAATAATCAACAAACATATCGAAATCGATTCAGTCTATCAATCAGAATAATGATGGACGGATATGTGAACAATAATCAGATCGAAGGGAGATACAATCAAAATGAAAAGGCAGATACTGACAGGGTGAACAGTAATCAAACATGATAGAAGTCGACAGAATAAGCTGTGATTCATAAAATGGTAAAGTGAAAACTTATCTTTCATTTCAATAGAGTATGTTCTAAGCAACGTCATACATTTTAATTTATTTGTCCTTTGATTATCGCTTTTATTGAAAACTAGGTATTTTCATTACCTCCCGATTGATCAAAGACGAAATATGAGACCTTAAAGTCCGTCTCCATACTTCACTCTTGACTATATATTCTCAATCTCATAATTTCAATGCACCATTGGTTTCGGCATGTCAGAATGTGGCTTCTGTAGAGTAGATTACTTAACGAGATCTCAAATTTTTACTTAATGATAGTTTCATTAAACATCCAACAGTGTGAACCGTACAGCGTGACGTGTTTTAGTTTAGAAACTTATGTTTAGTCACACTGTACTTGGGTCAAGTGCTACATGTCACATTGTTTGACACATCTTTCATGAGTCTGTGAACGTTTGCTGACCATTCGAAATGACAAACGCTTGAACAAATAACATAATCACGATTTTGTCTCTTTTGGTTCCCGCAATCGAGTTGTTCCTATGGTGCATTATAATTGACTCAAAAACAGAATACAGAATATACATTTGCTTGCTAAGTTACTGTGAAATCAACTTCGGAAACTAATTTTTTCAAAAAAATTTTAACGAGAACAAAAGAATTTGTCTTATTTAGCGTAAGACCTCATAACAATAATACTTTGTGTAAACAAACAACAATGATTCATTGCAAGTTCTTTATGATGTTTCAAGTAATCGCCATGATTTAGTTTAACTGGGTTGTTTATTATTGTTTGATTGTTCAGGTGGTTTCTGTAATTTGTCCACTTCTCGACGTAAATATTCTATTTGACTTGTCATTGCTTGATTTTTCGATAAAACCTGTTTGGACGATAATAATAAAATGATAATTATGCGTAAAAGTATCTTCCCAACTTTTTTCTATCAGTGGTTATCTTTTACAGAAAGATTTTAGTATGAATCATAGAGATATACATATGCCAGAAGAGATAAGTAAAGATATTGTCTGCTTACTACGTAAATTTTCTAAGTTTTAAATATCTCAGTAGAAGTACTCTTAGTCTATCGACCAAACAGAAAATTCGTCAGACCAGCAAGTTTGAGCTTTGATTTATTGAAGTTACTCGACTAATCTTAGACAAATAATCACCAACATTACAAATATGGTATAAATATCAATTCACTTTAGCAGATAAGTATTAGTTCGTGCAATCATGCTGTGTGGGCTAAGGATAAGAACTGCTGACGATATTGAAAGGAACAAGAGTAGGATTCAGATCTGAAACCTATGAATTAGAAATCGGATACCTTATTCACTGGGGTGCTTTTATACACGAAAAAGAATAAATTTGATAGTTTTCCCTCAACAATTAGTTAATACACAATGTTTTGTAAGTGAACTAAACGCTACAAATTTTGCTACCTTAATAATTGCGTTAATAATGCTCTAAATTGAATAGATATTCAGGTTATCAAGTGGAAAAAAGTCAAAGAATTCTGTTTTATGAAAGAAATGGCTAACCGCAGTTATTTGTGCAAATGCAAAAGGTGGTGCTCAGTCGAAAAATTCTGAATATTGAAATATTTCGTTTACTACTGATAATCGCTTTGTAAGTAGACTCGTTCTGTATTTTTCTCGGGAATTCGCCCTCACTTTGTGTTAGTTCATTTACACACCGTGTTAATATTTCACTAACTTGATAAATTCATTATTAACACATTAATAATATCAGAAATCTACGTTTTGACTTAGTGGATAAAAATTGTAAAAGCTTTTAGGTCAACAAATTAGAATTTTATGGATAAGAATATTGTATACTATTATAAATGGATCTCGGTATATATTAGATTAAAACCACTTAATTTACAGTATGAAATCATTTTTGTAAAAGCATACATATAATGTTAGTTAATAACTCAATAGTATTCTTTTTTTAGTGTCAATTTTTGTATGATTGACCAACATAAACTAACTATCGCTCATTAATGTCCACAACTTCTTTGTCAAATTGTAGGCAATGGCGAAACAACATTTTCACGATTGGCCATTCTGCAGTATATGCTAAATATTATGGAAGTTTTCTAGGTAGAAGATCGATTTTTGAAAGGTATGAATGTTAGATACTTTTCATCAAGTACGGTTATTAAGTAGAGTCATATAAGTCACATTTAAGGCTGATTTATTTGATAAAGACGAGAAAATGATTTTAAAAATTTAATTCAGAATTTATTCTAAAATAACTAAGCAAAATTTGTTTATATTAATAATTTCAGTTTGGGTGTTTTTATCATTTCACGTACATTAATGAAATATTCGGTTAACCTAAATATATTTGGGAGGGGAATATGGTTGTCTGCATTTTCTCAAGAAAAAAATGTTTATCAGTTTAAGGGTTGTAGAGATTGTTAACTTTTCTTAATTGAGAAATTAACATCATTGGATGCCGGCTCAGTGGTCCAGTAGGTTAAGCGCTCACACGTGAGACCGAAGGTCCTGGGTTCGGGTACCGCGTGTGGGATCGTGGATGCAGACGGCTGAGGGGTCCTACAATAGGACGAAACGGTCGTCCAGTGATTCCACGCTTTCAATGGTGGTCTAACATCAATCGGTTCATGATCTCAATAAAAGAATATTTATCAATATTTTTCAAGAATGTTTTCGTATTACTGATAAATGAGGATGTAGCCTATGAAATTTATTCTTTCGAATACAACAACAATTAAAAACTCACTTCTTCATAATCTTTTTTTAAACTGTCATATTGATGCATTAATTTAGCTGTTCCTTGTTCATTCGCTAATCGACGATTGAATAATTTTGATCCTACGGTTAATTGTGCTGTTTCAAGTTCATTTTTTAAGCGTTTTATCTCTGTTTTATATTGTTTCAATTCATTATGTGATACTGGTCCAGGTGCACACTTCAAACGTTCATTTTCAGCTTGACAACGCTTTAATACCTTTTTTAAACAAACTATGATTTTTTCTAATTCCTTTGGGGATCTTCCGCTTTCACCAATCTATTAGAAATAGGTCAACCATTTGTTTTGAAATAAATGGGAAATGCAAATTATTGATTTCTACGATTTTTTAAACAATTTTAATTAATTTGTACAAAATTATAATCATTATATTTATTTAATAGGTGTGCCAACAACAATAAAAATGTAATAAACAGTTAACTTTTCCCTGCCAATTATCGATGTGATATAAAACCAAACCCAAATCTTTCAAGTTATGCACAAAACATTTATGTTTGGGCACTGAATTTGAATACATTGGTCAGCAATTTCGAAGTTTGATCAATATATAAGAAATTTCAACTAATATTCCATACTATCATCTGATAGCATTTATCACTAGGGAATTTGATGATTCTGAAGTAAAACAATTATTTCAGTAGTTACTAATATTTTAAGGCCTTTCAATAATAGGACACCCATAAAATAGAATTGCATTCGTATGGTATTGACGCTAGACATACTATACATTTGATGAAATAGATTTTCGTGAAAGCAGCTTCATACTTGTGAGAATATGGTTTAAACTTAAAAAGCTTCAGTCAGTAAGTGGTAAAAAGGGACTTTGTAATTACATTAAGGTCAACTCATAAATCTTAAATGGTAAAGGTTATTTAAATTTAAAAGTATGTTTTCATTATGTGAATGGTTAACTAAGTACAAGTTCATGTGTTCAGGTTTAAGCTTTTCGTTTTGTGTGAGAGCTAGTGATAAGACGTTGCCATCAAAACTAAAGTAAATGAATCAAGGTTGATAAATGTATGGTATTTAGCACTATTAGTGTTAACTCCATTCCAACATTCAGGTGTCTATAGATTTCTCTAAATTTTTATAAGAATCGATGACATAATCATTAAAAAGAATTACTATTTGTAATCAAACTGATCCTAGATTTCTAACAAGTTTAAAGAGTAGGTTTTATTACAGATAGTAAGATTTTAAATTTTAACAACCGTAACATTCACTAATCATTTATATTACAAGGAATCTATTTTGTGCAGAGTTTTAGTATTAATAAGTTTGTTTGATATACTTAAGCCCTCGTTACTGAGTAACTTTTAAATTTAGAACAACATATATAAGCGAACAATATTGTTTTCGATTAGATCCTCATCAGGCTTTACATCCAATATACAGTAATATTTATATGCATATACGAAATTATTAAACCAATCAAGGTCAATGATAACAATGAAAACGATTACATAATAAGTAAAATGTGAAAAGTACAAACTTTTAAATGTTTGAACTGATAGGTTTACAGGAACAAGCAAATCATACTTAAATATTCAGTTAATTATTTAAATAAAATTTTCCATTAAATACAAGATATCTTTTCATTCATTGTTTTGGTTATTTATTCTTATTGTTCTATTCTTCTTCTGTTATTATTATTGATAAGTGAATTCAATTATTGTTAACATTTGTCCTTAGGAAACAATAATTATTGTTGATTATAAGAGTAGTGGTTGTTATTAGTAACAGTTAGTCATATTGGTCAAAAAATAAGAAACAATTACTGTATAAAAGGAACTCGTTTTACTTTTCAAACAAAAAAACAACTGGACATTTATTCATCATTTATAAAGTTGGCTATACTACATATTCAATGAAAGAATTAAATGAACAAGGATTACGTAGACGTAAGTCGATTGTAAACCTAAAATTGTCACATTCTAATTCAACTGATCATATAAAACCACTACATTATAATAACAATAATAAAATGTATAATAAATTATCACAACGATATATATCATATATTGATAAAATACCATTAACACATCATACAAAATCAGACTCACGAATGATAAATATCATTGAAATCAGCATTATATGTGGTGTATTTTTAACTGGATATTTTGTTTATCATTATTCCGATAGAATGTATATACCTATCATGAAGTTCTATGCACATTTAGGTATTAAAGTAAGTTATATTTTACATAAAAATCTTTGTCACATTAAAATAAGAATTTTCAAATCAAATAAGTCAGTTGATTTAATTAATTTTTATTGTTATCATTAACGTTATCAACGTCGTCGTCTACGTCGATGTTCCCTTTGTTATTATGATCATTCAGTTCATAAGCTGATATTCTATATCGATTCACTGATAATGATGAAATGCAATTTAGCTCTCTGGTTACTATTATCTTTCATGATAAATTAACTACCCACTCCTAATACTCCTTGTGGAGCATCGGCCTCTAACCTAAGAACTCTAATCAACTTTCCCCTAGGTTCTCCTGTTCGGCTGTTCTCAAGGGCTATTCATCCTTTTAATATAATGTAAATGTAAGTAATACTAAATTGTAGAGAATCGACTAGAGATTATGACGTAAAACGAAGCTAATGACGGTTAATCTGAGATGTGGAGTCTTGTTATAATTTTATTGACTACTTAGCTGAGCGGTTTTCGGAATTAGCGACTTTCTAAAGGATATCTTTTAAATAATTGTGTTCTATGGTTATCACAATGTGTAACTACTTTACTCAGTGTAATATTGTCGTGGGTGTTTTTATTATATTGAGCTTAGTCTGTTTATTTCTTTAAAAATATCGTAACAACACATCACACTCAAAATGAAACATTTGTATCGTTTATATACAGCGTTTAGAATCTTTATTCATATTATTTTTGGCGTGATGTACTTATTATATATTCTGATATTGTTAACTGTCATATAATTAATACAGCCCTTTCAATAATTTAATTATGTTTACAAAACCACTGTGTATTTTTTAAATACAAGCTAAGTTCAATCAACTTAATTGCTGTCATATCATTTAAAGCTCACTTGAGTAATTGTAAATAGCAAAAAAGTCGAGAATAAATATCTCATCCTTGAGTGAACACATGAAATAACTACACAGAAAGTGCTGCCTTTTAGGAGTTGTTTTCCTATGTATAGAAAATTTGTAAGAACAGTTGTGCAATATTAGAGTACACATTAACTAGGAGACATAGTAATCAGCTTTCGGAATCGAAAATGCTTATTTAAAATTGATAACCTAAAGTTGACTTAGAATGAGACATTAAGAAGTAATGTATCAATTGGAAATAGTGATAGGCGCGGTCGTCTAGGTGTGTGTCTGCAAATCAAGCAGATAATGATTAATGGTTCACTTGATTTTGAAATATATTTAAGTAGTTATACTAGGTTCTATAGTGAATGTCCATTCTGCGTTTTTATATATTTTTCCAGTTATTATTTTTACGTTTAACGTTGAGTGGAGTTTGCTTATTGCTTAGAAAACTGTTTATTAGTTTGATGTATATACTTAGTTGGAATTCAAGAAACCACAAATTCTTAAAAGCAATTCGTTACCGACCATAAACATCATTCTACAATGTCAACGTTACAATTGATTAAATTTATAAATGACCAATGTTGTATTCATTATCTCGCTGTAGCTTAAATATATAGTCTTCTATTCTACTATATATAGCAGTTTAACACAGTATTAACCACTCACCTTTATATTGTGGTGTTTGAATACAGTAGACGATTTTCACTACAAATTATTAGGCAATACAACAACTCATTACGATTATGAACCTTAACTGTGAGAGAAGCAATAAAATGTATCTGTAGAGTAGGAATTAACATATATTTATCTCCGACCCCAAGCATTTTAGATGGTTTTCGCCTTAACAAAATCTATGCCTCATAATATATATTGTAGATAAGATTTTGTGGTGTATTGGTACTTCACTTTATGTGCATAAATTGTAATATAATTCTGTTTCATCGAGACAGTGCACAAATAAACAAAAAAGATATGCCAATCAATGAGGTGTCACTATTTGAGACTACTCATTGAGATACATTGTAAACATTTTATAAAATCATATAGGTTGAAAATACAGTTGACAGGGTTTAACAATTAGTCAAACCATAAAGTACTTGGTAAAATACCGGAACAGTTAATAAATTGGTAGCCACCATTCATTTATATTAAATGAAGGGTGATGATGTGAGAGCTAGAATTGTGGTTTATTAGGTTATATGATCAGTTATTTGGTTAATCGATCACAACTTCATGAACTGGTTCGTATACTAGTGTTTAAAAAACTATTACTGTAACAAACCCTCATGCGGAATACGCGACTCAAAGTTTTATAAGTAAATCTGAAATAATTTTAGACTCATAAATGACATTAACTTTAATATTTCAATATTCATTTGATTATTATTAGTATCTCCAGTAAAAGCTGTGAAATCATTTCAAATGTTACATTGGTCTCATCTAACTAAACATTTTTAAAAATGAAAATAAGTATTTTTATGAGGACGATTTAGGCATTCACAACTCGTACAAACAAGTTTTGGTTTTGGAGAAAAAATTAGACAGATGAAAAACAGACTACGATTGTATATTGTCGAAAAGTAAGATGATTCCGTAAACAATACTAATCATAAGATTTGTGAAGAGGGGAAAACAGATTTGATTAACAGAATGATAAAAGGAGTATTTAGGCAGTAGTTAATCATTGTCATTTGCATAAACAATTTAATCGATAATCTAATTTTAAACATTCTAAAGAATGAGTAAATCAGAATATTGGTAAAGTAGTGAATATCCTGTCCACAGAAGACGGACAAAAAAATTTCCACTTTAACTCAGTAGTACTCGAATCTTTTTGCATCTGTGCAAAAAGTATGACATAGTAGGTCATCTGAACACGTTAATAATCTTTGAAAAAAAGTTGGTTAGCAAGTATAGGTAGGTCATTACATAAATATGCTTGATCAGGCATCATGAACATGATAAGTCAATTAATATTACCAACTTAAACGTTGATTTCGATAGTTTATACTCTTATTGCATACACCGTTCCTAAACTATATAATCGACAATGGTGGGGCTAAATGAACAAGCACAGGAAATCTGTTTTTGATGTGACTTGGTGGTATGAAAGATAAACACACTGAATAGGTATTCGTTGTCTCACTATGAATTCAAGGGTTCAATTATAAATACCATACTACGCA